TCTTTCTCTCTATTTGCCTCAGAGATAATCACTATTTCTGAAATTTGAATTTGCCATTTCCTTGCATTTTATTTTATTAAAAGTTTCTTTCTGAAGGCTAGTAGGTAGCATGTTGGTTAAGGCACTGGACTCCCACATGGTCAGCACTGGTTCAAGTCCTATATACCTGTCAGTCTGAAACTTATGCTGGGTGTGCATGCATGTGTGCCCCAAATCCCAGGAGAATGGAGAAGAGATTGCAGCATGGCCAACCCCCTAGGGGGTGATTTCTCACTTTCCTCCTTACTATCTCTGTCACTCCAGTGAGCACATGTACCCTATGGAGAAAACTTTAAAAATAAAGAAAACCCAAGAAACAAAAACCACAAGAGCTTTCTTTCTTGCCAGTCCCATATGCCTAGTGGTTAAAAAAGTTGGATCTGACATGGTTGACCAAAGTCCAAATACTGGCCCTGGTGGCTTGAAAAATACACCAGGTGCATGTATGTGCACACCCGAAATCTGACAGGATGGAAAATGCAGAAGCAACTGCAGTGTGACCAAGCCCCATTTCTACCCCCTGCCTTAGATAGCCAGGGTCATGGACACGTGCAGGTGTCTGATGTGTGCAGGGAGCTCCTGACCCTTGAACCCAGGACCTCCTTATGTGGCTTCAGAATTGCAGAGCATCGTATTACCACTACAGCATTGTGACTGACCAGTTCTTCATATTTTAATTGAGCGTTATATCTCTGAAAGACCTCTGGGCATCTCTACATTGGTGTCTTACTCAGTATCCTTAAAAGCAAACTCAAATGATTCCATTTATGTTAAAAGATGCACTATAGGGCCAGCGAGTGGTACGAAGGTTAACACACTGGATCCCACATGGCCACCTCCGCAGTCTGAGTCCTGGGCCTGTCTGCCTGAAAAACACACTGGACACGTGTGTGAGCCCACAGTCCAGAGAGAAGTATAGAGAAGAGATTGTGGTGTGGCCATCTCCCCTGAGGTGGGAAGATCTTTCCCTTTCTCTCTGTCTCTCGTCTCTCTCAGAGCATGTGCCTTATGATTAAAAAACAAAAAACAGGGGCTAACAGGTAGCATAGTGGTTGAGGCACTGGACTTCCACATGGCCAACCACAGTTCAAGTCCTAGGCTTGGTGGCTTGCTTTCTCACTTTTCCTCTCTGTCTTCCTCTGGCCAAATTAAAAAACAAAAACAAACTATATAATAATAAATAAAATTTTGAAAATCTTAAAAAAAAACCTCCCAAAACTGTAACACCATGCAAATTTACCTATCTACCCACCTACCTAGAAATCCTTTTTAGAATAATGTATATATGGGGTTGGTCAAATAGAAGACATCAGCAGACCTGTTTGCAACTTCTGGGATACATCAAATATTTTATTTTTTTAAAGATAGTTTTTTTTTTTTTTTTTTAATTTTATTTACTTATTTTAGTTTGACCAGAGAAGGAGGGGGGGAGAGAGAGAAAGTGAGAAAACAAGCCACCAGGTCCAGGACTTGAATCGTGGTCGGCCATGTTGGGAGTCCAGTGCCCTTAACCACCATGCCACCTGCCGACCCCTGATACATCAAATATTAATAGTTATTATTTCTGGATGCTTGGATTATGGATATTTTTCTATCTGCTCATCTGTATTTTCTAAAATTTCAACAATAGAACACAAATCACTTATCTTCCTTCAGCCCTTTTGCCAATGTAGCTTTTACTTGAGACTTCTCTAGTTATGTTAGTGTCATGTGCAATGTTTCCTATGTTCAAAGCCTGGTAGTTAGGTTGACACCCTCCTCTTTCTCACTCTGTCAGTTACTATACTTTGTGGATATTTTAGTATATTTCTGTCTTCTCTGTTAGATTTGAAGTTATTAAAAGGCACAGACCTTATCTTTGCTGTCTTCCTGGAGCCCATCGCACAGACCAGTTCAAGGTCATAAATAGATGATCCAAAAATGGGCATTGCACTTGGTGCTCCAGGCTGGTCTATATCTTGCAACTGTCACCTGACTGAGACATTTTCTCTATATTTAGCAATTTCTGTTTCAGGTATGGTTTGGCCTGATATTTACACCCTACTCTTACCCCTCCCAAACCTTGAACTTAGCAACTTGAATTAGAGGTGGTATGCAAATACTCAGCCTTGGTGTAAGCAAACGGCCCCCATAAGAACCCACTCAGAAACGAGTAGTCCTTATTTCCTCGACATTCTAGCTGCTGTCACTGCATTTGCCGGGGAATTCTCGACAAGATTTTATTTGTTCTTCCGTGCTGTTCTTCCTGTTGTTCCCTTATTTTTGCAATCAAGTTCCAGATGGCTCAGCAGTGCTTCCAGAATGAGTATTTTGACAGCTTGCTGCACGCTTGCAAACCTTGTCACCTCCGATGTTTCCATACCCCTCCTCCAACGTGCCAACGTTACTGTAACGCAGGTAAGACTGCCTGAACGACTGTTCATGACTGTGAAATATTTTCTATACCATTTATTCAGAGGATTAACATTACAGGAAAGATGATGAGATTTTCTGATCCAAAACAAAAAAGGAAACAAGACTACAGTTTAAATGTTTACAGGAACAAAGTAATTATTTGGAACTAAATTCACTTTTATTCAGCACTATTAGTAAGATAGACTTATCAGTCTTTCTAATTAAGTGGTATTTAGAATTCAAATGTCAATGTGGATAAATTAGAGGTACTGAATGGAAAATAATTTATATGTGATGTGACTATCATGCAATCAGCTCATTATTTCTCTGACATTCTTTTAATGAAGGTATGACCAACTCAGTGAAAGGAACAAATATGATTCTTTGGACCTGTTTGGGCCTGAGCTTGATAGTTTCTTTGGCAGTTTTCGTACTAATGTTCTTGCTAAGGAAGATGAGCTCGCAACCATTAAAGGATGAATTTAAAAACACAGGTTGGTTTGACAGTGAATCTTTGAAATCTGTTTCCAAGAGATGGCTATCGTGAGTTTCAGTTCCTCTTCTTTTTTTTCACTATTGACTATTTCATTCGGTTACAGCTCTTCCTAGTATGTTAGGAGATAGGTGCGCTATCCATAGATGACCTTGTGGGCCAGGAGCTGTCTTCATCCCGGTGCTGACATTGTCTTTACAGATTTCTTACAATTTAAGTCTTCCTCCAGGGTCTTTCCTTGGTAATTACTCTATGGAAGTACTGAGGCTTCCCTGGGAAACAGCAATCTTTTTGACCAAAGTTAGTACAATAATTACATGTTATGCTATTAGAAACTGCTGACCAGGCCTGCTACTATCAAGAAAAACCTATTTGGCAAGATCCATAGCCTTGTTTTTAATACAAATCTAAGTGCTATTTGCTTGGGTGAACATTTTACTATTGAAAAATGTTAGAAATGAATAACCAGTTGCTCCTATTTGAGCAATCATCTCAAAACATAATCATCCTTATTAAGCATTAGAGAAACACTCTGAGAAGTGAATGTTCTACTTAAGGACCTCTTAAGATAAAAATATTTCTGCAGCACCGTCGCCTGTGATCTCATTCCTGAACACTCAGCAGCCACTGCCCTATTTCTTCATGCATTTATTTTCCATGCAGAATCAGCAACGAATCCATCTCATTTGCTTTCTAGTGCAGTGGGAGAGGTAAGTGACAGTTCCACATAATTTGCTCATTTTTCTCCAGGGTCTGAAAGACAGGTGGGGACTGAATTTTTTAACATAAAATAAAAATTGTGTACATTTAAGGCACACCATGTTTGAAGTACATATACAGTATACATACACATAGTGAAATGATCACTACACTCAAGCAAATTATCTTACCTATCTCCTCACATAGTTCTTTTGTTTTTGTTTTTTGTTTTGGTGGTGAGAACACCTGAAGTCTCTCTAGCAAATTCACAAAATACAACACAGTATTTTTTTTTTAAGAGATTTTTGCTAGAGGGCATGCGTGTTCTCTAGAGAGACAGAGAGACAGAAAGTGGGAAATCACCCCCAGGGGAAATGGCCACGCCACAATCCCTTCTCCTCCAGTCTCCTCTTGGGATCTTGGGCATGTACGCATACGCCCCTGGCGACAACACAGTATTATTATCTACAGTCATCATGCTGTACATTAGCTCTCTAGGTGATGCATCCTACATAACTGTAAACATCATACCTTTGGCCATTATCTCCCCAGTTCTCTGACTTCCCTACCGCTGGTAACTGCCATTCTCTGCTTTTATGTATTCAACTTCTTTTAAGAATTAATTTTACTTATTTAGAATTATGTTATTATTAAAAACAAAACAAAGAACTGCTATAAAGCACAGGCACTTACCAGAGAGAGAGGGAGGGAGAGAAAGTGAGAAAGCAAGCCACTAGGCCTGGGACTTGAACCATGGTCAGCCATGTGGGGGTCCAGCACCCAAACCACCATATCACCTGCTGGCCCCTGTATTCAACTTTTTTAGATTCCACCTAGAAGTAAGATCCTGCAGTATTTTTCTGTGTCTTGCTTATTTTTATCTTCTTAAAAATTATTTTAAAAATTATTTTATTTAACTTTATTCATTTATTTATTTTATTTAAATTTGACCAGAGAGGGACCAAGTGAGAGAGAGAGGAGGAAAGTGAGAAAGCTGCCAGGTCCAGGACTCAAACCATGGTCGGCCATGTGGGAGTCCAGTGCCCCCAACCATCATGTCACCTGCTGGCCCCCCGTGTCTGGCTTATTTTGAGAGTGACCTTAAGTGTGATGTTCTGGAAGTCGGAGTTACACTGTGGAATGCTGGGAAATAGTAAAATTTACTTTTGCAGGTATACAATGGGGGATAGAAGAGAGGTTCCTTCCTTTTGTGATCACAAGAGATTCATTACAAAATTTTAATGTGCTCCAAAATATTCTGTAAGAGAAACAGCTTTATTTCTAAATTCTACAAGTGCCATCCACAGTCTGATTCTGGTGTGCTGCATGGTAATTTCTGTCTTTTGCTTGTGTAAGGTGAAGTCAAAAGCTCCATGTCTGCAAGGGCCAAGTGGGCAAGACGTGCATGTAGTGGGACAGGTGGAGGCCTTGGCCACAGAGCACAGGCCCTGCTTGAAGGTGACAGCTGCTGATGGCTCCAGCCGATCATTTCCATGCTGGGTCCGTGCTGCCATGTTCTGTTCACGTCTAAAAACCAGGCCAGTTGTCTAGCTGTGCATGTGAAATCTCTTGATTGTTAAATGTAGACCACATAAACAAGGAAATACTTAGAAACACTGTGTGCCATCAGACAAACCATGTCTACAAGCCCAATGTGGCCTGTGGTCTGTTAGTTATGACTTCTAGAGTAGGACATACTCATTCCTCTTTTAGAAAACATTTATGTATTTATTTAATTTTGTTACTTTGTTTATTTATTTAATTATTTTTATTTCATTTTCTTTTATACATTTATTTATTTATTTATGTTTATTTGTTCTCATTTTTCTGGCTGCTGGGTCTGGGACTAGAACCTCAGCCAGCCATGTGAAAGTCCAGTGCCTCAACAACCATACCACCACTCATTCTTTTTATATGAAAAGATCTGTCTTGTGCTAGCCCTGTAGCCCAGTGGTTAAGGGAGATGGATCCCACATGGACAACTGTGGTTTGAATTTTGGCCCTAGCAGCTTGGATAATATGCTAGGTGCAGGTGTGTGTGTGCCCAAAATTCAACAGGATGGAGAAATGGAGGAGAAGGGTTGCAGTGTGACCATGCCCCAGGGCTAGGGGGGGCACTTTCTCCCTCTCGTTCACTTTATTTCTGGCAAGCAAACGTGCCCTCTGACAATTCAAAACAAGCAAAGGAAACAAAATCCTGTGTGTATTGCTAAAAATGTCATGACTATATTCCCCGGGAAAGGTAAGGCTGATATCTCTGTTTCTGCATAATCAGGATCGATTTTCCTGGATGTGGCTAATGCTGACCTGGACAACAGCAGAACTGATAAAATTCTTCTTCCCAGTGGCCTGGGGTACACGGTAGAAGAATGTACCTGTGAAGACTGTGTCAAACCAAAGGTTGATTTTGATCATTTCTTTCCACTTCCAGCCATGGAGGAAGGCGCAACCATTCTTGTCACCACAAAGACCAATGACTACTGCAATTGCATGCCAGGTGCTTTGAGTGTTACAGAGATAGAAAAATCATTGTCTACTAGATAATGAACTGTTTTGACTGTTGTAAAGCTCCTTTGAAAATCTTTCATCAGAAGGAAAAAGAAGCTACATCATTTTTCTTTAGGAAGGCTGTTCTTATCAGCTGCTGATACGGCTGTAGCTCTGCTAATTCTATAAACTCTATGTTAGACACACTTTCTACTGATGGGGGCTTACCTGTGGGAACTTCCATAGTTTCATGATTAAATTCTTGACTCAAAGAAAAAAAGGTACTGCAATATGTAGATCCCATAGTTGCCAGCTTCTATGGGTAGATCACTTCTCTATTGTATAGACAAATATACATTTTGGAACGGAGTGGATTTTTTTCTTTATTTGTGAAGAAAAGCAAGGTTATCTTATGTACTTTTGTGACTAGGAGAAACCCAGAGTCAGCCAGACTAAGTCAGTGTGCAATGCATAGGTGGTTCTTATCCTTCTGAGCTTCTAGCTTAATTAAGGAGGCATCAGATATTATTATAATCATACAAATAAATTTCTAATTGCAAACTGTGATAATGGTGTACTATATACTGTTTTCACTCCAAATATGAGTGTACAACATTAATCATAGGCATAGGTAATACTTACACAGCATTACTAATGTGCTAGGGACTGCTTTTTAAAAAAATTTTAAAAAATTGCTGAGGAATGTGCACTCACTAGAGAGAGACACACACACACAGAGAGAGAGAGAGAGAGAGAGAGAAAACATACCCACACACACACACACTCCATGGGGGATGGTCATACTTCAATCCCTTTGCCTCTATTTGTCTCTCTCCTTCTGGGATTCTGCTGCATGTGCACCGGTGCCTGGCATGTTTCTCAAGCCAGTGGGTCCTGGACTTGAACCAAAGTAAGCCAGGTTAAGGTCAAGATGCCTTAACCACCATCACCAGGGACTGTCTCTGTACTAACTCATTAGACTTTAATCCTTATAGTATAAACACCTCTTAAAGGCCCCACCTCTCAATACAATCAAATTGGCAACACCCGAATTTTGCAAAGGACACATTCAAACCAGAAGAGTAACAAAGCTGTGATTTAAACTCTGTCTGATCTTTTTTTCTTCACATATCAACTAAATTAATTCCCTGAGTCTTTGGGCTATAATCTCAATCACTATTGTGGGATGGTTCTCTCTTATAGGGTGGCAGAAAGGTCCTGGGATCCTATGGGAAGGCAAAACATCAGGGGACATCCTCTGGTCATCTGTTCACTTCAGTCACTGTTAAGCTGATGGGCTCTACAACACATTCTCTGGGATATGGGGAACTTTTTGCCTATTAGGGGCCCATCATGGTTCCATTCTGGGATCTTTAGGGCCATAGGAGGCAGCATAGTATAAGGAATTTGCCCCTGAGTCCCGGAGCCCAGGTCACTCGCAGACCCCGCTGTCACCTGCCCTCTCTGATCAAGTTAAAACAAATAAATAAAGTTAAATAAAAAAAATTAAAAAAAAAAATCTAGTGAGCAATATCTGCCTGGGACCGCAGATGATCCCTCAAGTCCCTTATGTAACTAGTATTTGCATATCATCTAGACACATTCTTCTGCACACTTTAAATCACCTCTAGATTACTTTATAGTACCTAATACAATGTAAATGTCATGCAAATAGTTGTTATACTGTAGTTTTTTTTTTAAACAATTACCTTTTTTTTTTGAGGGGTCCAGGATGGTCAGCTACATGGGAGTCCAGCAATGTAGCCATTATGCTATTCACTGGTCCCTAAAACCATTATTTAATTTTATTTATTATTATTTTTTTAAGAGAGATTTTTGCTATAGGGCATGTACACTCACCAGAGAGATAAAAGCAAGTAATCACCCTCCAGGGAGCATGGTCACACAGCAATCCCTTCTTCTCCATTCTCTAGGATTCTTGGGCACACATGCACAAGGTGCCGTCCTGAGTTTTAAGTCATGGGATCATGGTCAGCTACATGGAAGTCCAGCAATATAGCCATTATGCCATCTGTGGGTCTCTTTTTATTATTACTATTTAAAAATTTTCTAAGATACGTGCACTCATCAGAGAGACAGGGAAAGGGAGAGAGAAATTAAGAAAACAAGCTGCTAGGTCTAGGGCTCGAACTGTGGTCATCCATATGGGAGTTCATTGCCTTAACCACCATGCCACCTGCTGTAGTTTTTAAAGTTTACATTTTATTTTAATATTTTCAATTTAATTAATTTTCAGGGGATTTTTCTGCCTATAGTTGGTTTAATCCCTGAGTATGGAAGGCCACTTGTAACTTAATTCATTTCTGACTATCTACCTGGTTGGATACTTTGCTAGAAAGGCTCACAGAACTCACAGAAACACTTCATTTACTTCATTGGTTTATTACAAAGGATACAGATGAACATTCAGATGAAGAGGTACAAACCACAGGCAGGGAAGAGCTCTGAGCAGCTATGTCATGGGGGAGTGGGCACCACTCTCCATGTGCTCAACAATTTGGAAGATCCTCAAACCTTGGAGTTCAAGAATTTTTATAGAGCTTAATCTCTAGTGGCTCCTCTGCTTTCACTGAGGTTGATGAGCAAAATGTCAGGAAAATTCTCAAACATTTCTGGATCTCCTTTCCCCATGTTTAAAATGGGCCAATAACCTGGATTTCATAAGGTTGTCGTGATTTATGTTCATACTCAATCCATCCACCCTCTTCACCTCTGATGCAGCTCTCGACCCAGGCACTACTATCTCCTGACTGACAAATGCAATAGCCTGCTAATAGCTACCCTTTCTCTGTCCCGTGACAATTTATTCTCATTCCAGAATGAGTGATGTCTTCAAACCTAAACAGCCAGTTACTCCTAGGCTGAAATTCTCGCAATGGCCTCCCGTTCCCTCACTTACCTCCTGAGCATGGCTTGCAAGGCCGTTCCCCCCTTCTTTTCAACCTCCTCCCTCGCACCACCACCTTTTCACTCACCCTCTAGCTTGTCAACCTCTCCAGGTAGGGCCTTCGCATTTGCTGTTCCTTCCGGAACACCCTTCCTGGGGACCTTTCCAGGCCATCTCCGTCTCAACACTCAGGTTTCATCCAAAGTCGCCTCCTTGGAGAAGCCCTCTGGGATTGTCCAATGGGCTTTGGCCCATTATTCTCTTCTTTCCCTTCCAGCTCGTCTGCCTCTCCGGAACGACGTCGCTTCGTTACCCGAAGCTTTGCGTCCCAACAGAGGAGTGAGCCTCGGGAGGGAGGGGAAGCGTCTCAGAGACTCGGGGACCGCGGCGGCTCCCCTCCGGGGACTCCCACCAGCGGGGTGCGTCCCTCCGCCGCCTCCACGCTGCGGCCATCCCTACCCTAGCGCCCCCGGCAGCCGCGCGCTCCTGGCCCTCGCCCGTGTTTACGTTCCGGGTCGGGGGCGGGGCTTCGACGGCGGCCGGGCTCTACTTCCGGGGCGGGGCGCGGCAGGCTGGGCGGGGCGCGCTGTCTCCCGGCCTGTCTGGAGCTCCGCGGCGGCTGAGGCGGCGGCGGCGGCGGCACGGCGCAGGCACCGGTCCGGGGAGCGGCACCATGAGCGGTGAGTGGCGGCCCC